ATAGGATATAACAGCTGTAATGGACGCCTTAATGTAGTAACTTTCCCTTTCTTGCTCATGACTTGTGCAACTGCACCTCTCGATTTCCCATCAGCCGTGCTATTGACAAGTCCCTTTATTCTTCCAATTCTCCAGAAACTACGCGGATGGGTCTCGTCGTGAACTAGTACAATATCTTCAACTTCCACAGAAGATTTCTCTACTGTTTTCTTAGGACTCTTATGTGCATTTCTCAGTTCTACCAAATACTCGTCCGCCATCTTTGCCAAAAGTGTTCAATAATGTCATTTAGATAGCGAACTCATTTGTTGAGGTCATTCGTCGATAGGTCGACTAGAAAATCTTCATCTTCAGGGTTCTCTTGATGACGATCAGGTAAACTCAGGATCCGTCTTCCGCTCAGAGGATGGGCTGGGGTGAGGGGTTCCTCGACGTCCTCGGAGGATACATAGGATTTGGGTCGACTGTTCAGGATCGATTCTGCTTCCGTGACAGCTGTAACTAGCTCGTCATAAGACAATCTTGCCTTTCCGATGGTTTTTTTCCGCTCAAAGAAACCTCCACACCACGGGGCTTTCTCCAGATTAGACGACCAACGCATTCGTTGCTGCAAGAAATATTTCTTCACTTGAGGATCACGCATGAGTGTCATTAACTCTTTGGACGCAGCCTTAAAGGTTTTCGCGTTGTCCGAAACGACAAGCAATGGCGTCGAACGTCGTAACGTAAATCTCCTAAAACTCCTCAGGAAGGCTTGTGATGTCATGTTGGGAACAACTTCAAGGTGTACCGCTCTAGAAACACAGCAGGTAATCAAACAAATCCATGCTTTCTCGTCTAAATCGTTCGTAGATTTCACATATAAAGGACCGACGTAGTCTAAGCCAACGTACGTAAACGGTGGTGCTTCCTTTACTCTAAACTCCGGCAATGGCGGAGAGTTAAGTGCCTTGTATGCTCTACCATCTTGCTTCTTGCAGGTGACACAATTGATTTCTTACAAAGTTCCTTCCACGGACTAACTAGAATTTCGATCGAAGTTCTGTCAATATTGCCTTTACTCCCCCATGCATTACCCGCTCGTGACAATCCCGTACGATTAGTGTGGTAAGGTAATTAATGAGCTGTTTCTAACAGGATTGGATACTTCGCTGAATATGGCAAGTTCGAGTTAGATAGTCGTCCCTTACATCGGACGGTTCCAATTTCATCAGTAAACAGACCGAGGTCTCGGTTCCAGAATTCTCGTTCAACTTCATTTCTTCCTGCAGTTCCTTGATCCATAGAACTCGAGCTAATTCGATGTCGGTGCTTGTAACTTCCGAGTTTGTTGGAGGATCTTCCTGTTTAACTCTCGATTTTAGTAGCTTGATGAACTTCAAGACAACAGCCGTTACTCTTAGCAAACGACCCAGGCTACTGTAGTCCTTACAGTTAATAACATTGCTTATGGAATCTTTCGATCCATGCACTATCATCGTTGAAAGTGTCTCTTTGTCTAAAGTCCTCTGGTCCTTGGCCTTCATCTCTCAATTCGACACTTTAGCAGGGCTCTCTGTGGCGGACAACCATTTTGGGCCAGACCACCACAATGTAGATGATGCTAGTTGAGTAGGCAGGATACCACGTGACGGAATGTCTGCGGGGTTTTCTGCACCTGGGCAGTGACTCCAATACTCTACAGGAACCAGCGCTCTAATCTCTTCCACTCGACTCTGTACGTATTGTTTCCATTCCTTCTCTTGCTGCGTAATCCAATATAATGCAACCTTAGAATCCATCCAGCATTGCACCTTCGAGATTTCAATCACAGACTTCAGGGCTTTCTGAGTAACGTTCATTAATCTGGCAAGCACGAGCGCTGACAGTAACTCCAACCTTGGGATCGTTTGTTTAGTTAAGGGTGCCACTCTTGCCTTCGATATCACCAACTGGACATAAGAGGCATTTGGTGTGATGATTCTGAGGTATATTACGGCAGCAGTATGCTTTGATAGAGGCATCGCAAAACCCGTGAAGCTCGTAGGATACAACTTGCTCGTGTATGTCAGAAATATAGCATCTCGGAATAACAACAGGTTGGACATCCTTTAGGTTATCAACTAATTTCTGCCAATTGCATTTCAGTGTTCCTTCAAGTGGATGGTCCCAGTCACCCTTCGCCAGACAAAGTTCTTGAAACAACAGCTTGAAATTGATTGTCAATGGGGATATAAACCCCATACGATCATAAATCTTGGAAGAAACACTGATCACATTTCTCTTCGTAGCTTGAACCATCTGCGCCAAATCTGCAACATCCTTGATATCAATAATAAGATTGTCCTCGTAAGAATCCCATAAGATTCCGAGAATTTTCTGCTTGTCATCGCTTGCTGGAAGGGGAGGACCCAACGTACTTCCGGTGTAAGATGACTGCTCCTCCTGAACCAACTGCTGGGACTTGTTGCTATCAGCTCTGGCCATGTTACTTCCGTCAGATGCATTGTTCACTGTCACTAGTTGGTTGGTTTGGCATATACGCTCTTGGAGTTCTTTAGAGTTCGTGGTAATCTTTCGCAAATTGAAGTTAGCCTTTGCCAATCGGCTCCTTGAATCTTCATAGAGTTTGAATGCATTGTCCACATTTTCACCTCCGGAAATAAGATCATCCACATAGATCGAATTCAGAACAGCTTCCACGAAACTAGGGTCATCTTCCCGGTATTGCTCGATGTGTTGTTTGACTGTGGCGTTTAGTAGAAAAGGACTGGAGGATACGCCAAACACTACTCTGGTGAATCGAAGTGGGATAATCTTAGGGTTTGGGCTGTGTATATCATCGAACCACAGAAATCTCAATGCATCCCTATCAGACTCCGCTACATGAATCATGAGAAAGGCCTTCTCGATATCTCCCGTTAAGGCCACCTTGTATGCACGGAATCTTAGCATAATGTCAACAATGTTCTGAGTCAGCGAGGGACCACTATACAGACAGTCATTAAGCGAAGGTCCTCTTGACTTCGCCGAGGCGTCGTACACTACTCGCAATTTGGTTGTTGCCTTATCCTGACGGATAACTGCGTGATGAGGTAAATAGTGCACTCTCTTTGCTTCTTCATTTGGTTCGGGCACAGACTCCACGATTCCTTTGTTAAGCTGATCTCTTATCACATTGTCATATTCCTTAAGGACTTCTGGCTCATTACGCAATCGCTTCAGCAACCCTAATAGACGTTTCTTGCTAAGATCATAGTCATCAGGCAGTTCAGCATGATCAGGTTTCCATGGCAAATTGACCACATAATGATTATTTTCATACTTAATGCTTTCTAGGAATTCTTCGTACACACACTGGTTGAATACCGAGAGTTTCTAAGTCCCAAAATCTCTTCAGTTCTTGTACAAGGACATCATTCTTACACTCAACTTCTTCGGAGGCACATTTGAGGGTGTGGATTGTAGCAAGATTGCTGGTGTGGGTTAATTGCCGCGGTTCGTTTCCAACAGGCCCAGAGAGAACCCAACCAAGCCTTGTTTGAATGGCAGTCGGACCACTATCTCCTTGTCTGGTTTTCCCGGTCACGATCTTCCAGTAATGATCTGAACCGATCAGGATATCCACTTTCGCATCGTGTTGCCCAGATGAGTAATCAGCTAGGTGGAGGTTGGCGAGATGAGGGTAGGTCTTGCTAGCATTTGACACGAATTGGTTCTTTAATGGCTGACAAATTAATGGCACAGTAAATGCTAACATTTCAATGTTTGCTCCATAGGCAGTTTCTATTCCAAGATTCACCACATCAATAACTTGAGCATTAGTCTCGCTAGAGCCAAATGTTTTTATGTTTACCGACCTTTGACTCTTTGACTGCAGACCGAGAGTTCCCGTCAGTGCACTGCTGACGTACGAGCACTGACTGCCGCCATCCAGGATTAGTCTCGCTTTGACCTTGGGACCATCAGGATTATCTGGGTTATATATATTTGCTCTTGCGGTTTGGAGAAGGACACAGTTCGATGAGGTTGTGTGACAGACAGTTGCGTCAGGATGGGTTCCCAAACTAGGACCTTCCTTTGACTTGTTGGATCCGCTTTGCCCATGTTCCTCAGGAGGGTCCCTAGGAGGTGGTGGAGGTGGCTTCTTACCCTTACATATGCTAACATGATGTCGCCCCTTACACGAGTAGCACCGTGTTGTTGACTTGCAACTTGGACTGATATGATCCTTTCTTAGGCACACAAAACATCTTCCCGTCTTCCGTAAAATATCTTGACGAGCAGCAGGACTAGTCACAGTTGTACAGTCCTTTGATGGGTGGGACCCCCTGCAGTAAGTACAACTTGGATTATTACCGGCCATCAATGCTGAGGCTGAACCGTGATATTTCTTAAAATCCTTGTTGGTTGCAGGTACCTTAATTCTCTCCCTGGCTTCTAACTCTTGCTGCAAGGTATTTAATAGTTTGTCCAAATTCCATTCGTTTTCCTTAACCACTCTGCTAACAACCAGCTGTAGATTTGTTGGTAGCTTGGACATTAACATTGAAGAAAGAAGGCTACCATAAGATTCAGGGGCTACTCCCATAGATTTCAAGCTTCTAATGTGTGATTGCACCGTATCATGAAGTTGGCGCAAACCCTTCAGGTTGTTTTCAGAATTAACTGATGGAAGATTTAGCAGAATATCCATATGTCGATTTATAATTTGCTGTTTGTTCCCAAACCTTGATTTCAAAATAACAATTGCCTCTTCATAATTAGCATTAGTTAAAGACAATCCAGCAATGGATTCAGCAGCAGCTCCGTCCATGAAAGACTTGAGATAATTGAATTTATCAATCGGTGCTAAGGAGGGATTGTTGTGGATAGAGGCTTCAAATGTATCCCAGAATGGGTTCCATGGACTAGGATCCCCAGAAAACCTTTTAAGGATTAATTTTGGCAATTTTACTTGTGCTACATGATTGATTGGTTGGACAGCTGGATGCCCCCCAGGGTTATCGGGTGATGCAGGTGGTAACTCCAACTCGAAATGTTTCAGTTGAATAAACCACAGGCTCAAATCCAATATTCTCCGTGATAATATATTTAGAATTGCCGGTAATCCGGCTCTCAAAGGACCATGTTATAAAAACTTCGATGGACTGTATTATCGTAATATTTAATATAAACTCAGGACAAATTTGAACATATTACACAAGACATATTACATCTCAACGTACAGAAAACGTTTCTTTACGCGCCATTTTGCATATATTATATTGATTATGCCACAGCGAACCCTAAAGGCCCATTTACACGATACGATTAGTTGTATACGATTGTCATTCTGACGAATGAAAACGAGTGCTAATGCCACGTTATTGCTCATTCGCTAATGGCGAAATTTGAAATGTGACGTTTGTACGCGTGTTTATTCGATCACATACGCCAGAGTAAGAATCGTATACAACTAATCGTACCGTGTAAATGGGCCTTAACGATAATTTCAACAAAACACAAGCATACGTCATAGTCTTCTTTTTAAAGTCCCCCCCCCCATATTTTTACCCGATTACGTTTATAATGTGCCCGACTTCATTTTGACTGGGGGCAGCTGCCCCTGCCCTCCCCCCCCCCGCCACGTACGCCTATGTTTGATATTCTAGTAACTGAAATTTGCTTTGTGAATCTTATGTCCGGTCTTTTATCTTAAAAAAAAATCAATTGAAAACTTCAATAGCTCATGAGTCAATATTGCATTAAATTTTCTTGTATACATCACAATTTAACAAAACAATACGTAGTATTTGAGTTCAACATTTGTACTCTACGTTTAAGTCATGCATGTTATCTAGCTTTTTAGTACGTTCAGTACCCCGTAAATGTTTACAACTATGAATCGACAGACGGTATCTAAATGGCACACTTAGTCCAAACTCTCTACGACAATGTAAATGTAGTTTTAATTGTTTTAATAAAATGATACAAGATTCTTATTGCAGGCGAATGATCTGTTTATTATAATAATTTCCCTTTTTATTCTATATTTTATCCTGTTCTATCCCTTTCCCCACGTTTTATCCCTTTTCCGCGTTTTATCCTCTTTTCCGTTTCCGCAATTCCGCGTTTTATCCTCCGTTCCGTAATGCCGGAATTCCGTTTCCGTGTTTTATCCCTCAAGTTATTTCTCCCAATTTTTGCCAGAATTACGTTTATAATTTGCCTGACTTCATTTTGGACTGGGGTCAACTGCCCCCCCGACCTGTGCGCCTATGCAATTGATCCTTTATATAAAGGACTTATTTCAAATTAATTTAAAAAAATATTTTTTTTTTTAGAGTCAGATTTCAAAACAAACCGCCTGTCGGCTGACATTTTACAGCAACCAGTGCCAACCACTATTGGCGCGTACAACACTTAGGCCACAAACCCATTGCTTTCTCAACAGAAACAAAAGGAATTTGAGTTAAAATTCTCACCTTATCTCTTTTTGATGACTTTCAGTGCTCTGATTAGTCTTGTTGGTTCTTTGTCTTGTTGCAAGCAGGTCAGAGACAGAATAAGGCAAACTGAAGATCAAAATAAGCCAAAAAGAGTCAAACTCTAACGTTTCCTGGGGACTCAGAGCTGGGGACTTTATTTTATCGTCAAATATATTATTTACGGCCATGATCTTTTGTCAAATAAATATAGAAGCACCTTGTTTTCCACAAAAAAATCGTAGCCAAGTAAATCTACAAGGACCCAGTGCGAAGGGGGACAGGGGGTGCCAAACCAGGGTTGCCAACTTGGCTCTTTTTACGCCAAATTTCTCGATTTTAGCTTCTTTCTTTTTTTCCGAATATTCTGTTTATTATAGTCCCATTTATTAAGTCCAGTCATTATTGAAATTTCATTCGGCGTGAAACAGTATTGAAATTTCATTCGGCGTGAAACAGTATTGAGTTTCATTCGGCGTGAAACAGTCATTATTGAAATAGTCATTCGGCATAGCGGGAAAAGCAAGCGGGAAATTGTAATTCCAGCATGGCCGAAAGCGAAGCCAATTTAAGTCAATAGCGTGCTGTTTCTTTGTTGCAAGAGGCAACAAGATTGATCAGAGAATGGCCTGAATCATCAAATGATGTTTCTTAACTTTCTTTAGCACAAGTTGTAAGTCCAAATGTAAGTTCTCAAAGCGAATCGCATGCTACACACGTAAAAAAGGGTCCACAAGTTGTAACAAACCTGCAGCAGACTTGTAGCAATGCTGTTCCAACAACTTGTCAACAGGATGTGTTCGCACTGCTTGTTCCCAGCTTGTTGACAAGTTGTGAACGGCTTGTTGACAACTTGCGCATGCTACAAGGTTGTTGAGTTCAACAGACTTGTTACAAGTTGTTCCAACAAAAATTTCTAGAACCACTGAGTATTTTAATAAAATACAAAACAAGTGAAACTCCAAAAATCGATAACATTTTTATTTATCTACGTTTCGACTATATTTCAGTCATCATCAGGATAAACTAGCTAGGTTATATATCAAAAGCAGTATTTATATGAAGAAATATACAATTATTAGGTTGATTATTAACGAATTAATTAAATATGATTAGTTCTTTAGAAGCAAAGATATAAACCTGAACTTAATCATGGACTTAAAGCGGCTTCTAAAGAACTAATCATATTTAATTCATTCATTAATAATCAACCTAATAATTGTATCATATTTCTTCATATAAATACTGCTTTTGATATATAACCTTGCTAGTTTATCCTGATGATGACTGAAATATAGTCCAATGTTAAAAATGTTATCGATTTTTGGAGTTTCACTTGTTTTGTATTTTGTTCCAACAACTTGTTATTGCTTGTGATGTTACTCTGAGTGTATATCCACACCGGGCAGGCTTGAAAATATGCCTGGCCACGGTGGGAATCGAACCTACGACCTTTGGAATGCTAGCCCAATGCTCTGCCAACTGACCTACGCGGTCAGGTCGGTTCGAGTATGTAATATTTCGGAACTGAGTCTAGTTCCTTCGATATCAGTGTAATCTAATAATCATGATATTTGGCTGTGTTGGTGTAATGTACTCAGGTGAATAAGATGCTTGTGATGTTACTCTGAGTGTATATCCACACCGGGCAGGCTTGAAAAATATGCCTGGCCACGGTAGGAATCAACCTACGACCTTTCGAATACTAGCTTGCCCAATGCTCTGCCGACTGAGCTACGCGGTCAGGTCGTTTCGAGTATGTAATATTTCGGAACTGAGTCCAGTTCCTTCGATATCAGTGTAATCTAACAATCATGATATTTGCTGTGTTGGTGTAATGTACTCAGGTGAATAAGATGCTTGTGATGTTACTCTGAGTGTATATCCACACGGGTGTCCTAGTTGATTTGGACCCCCGTAGATTTGGACCCCCGGTCCATATCCACTAGTAGATTTGGACCCCCGAGTCCAAATCCACTAGTGGATATGGACCCCCGGGGGTCCAAGTCTACTAGTAAATACGGACCCCCGTTGGCGGATTTGGACCCCCTTCAAAAGTTAAATATATGTAATGTGAACACAATAATATAAACCAAATTCATATTAATAGCGATCAATCTGAAGTATTTTATCACTTTAAATATTTGTGATAAAGGCCATAAAACGTAAAATAGAAAAATAGAATACAGTGTGATTAAAATTTACAGTGTATGTCTTTGCCAATAACGAATCTGCTAATGGTTTTTAACAAACGCGATAGAAATTGCATATATATAGGCAGCATTTGGGCACGAAACACGATTTTCATGTTTTTAAACAATAAGTGATGGTGACTCGTCTAAAATGGAAGGCTGCAACTATCAACTAATGGTTTTTAACAAAACCCATAGAAATAGCATATTAGAGCAACGCGATTCCATGAATATTTTTAAACAATAAGTGATAGTGCATGTGACTCATGAGTTTTTACTGTGTTTATTTATCCTTTTATAGTTGCAGTGGCGGCGCCGCAAATTTTTTTTCCGTAGACAGTCTGACTTCTCATTGATAGTCGGACGCAATCTCGTTCCCCGAGCCTGCGATCCTCGGGAAGGAACGCGAGGCTCTGGGATAATCCGTTTCAGGGAGGAATCTGATTGGCCATTGAAATGGAATGCGTAGTTCAATCTTAGCCAGGATTCTTGGCTTCCGGTAACGGATTATCCCAGAGCCTTCGATTCCTTCCCGAGGATCGCAGGCTCGGGGAACGAGATTGAGTCGGACCCCTTCGTAACCCACTAGTGCACCATATATCCATCACTCCACGTTGTTCTTCTTCAACCACGTGTAGAAAGATGAACGATTTGCTTCGCGATGCCATAGTAAATCTACAAACTTGTTTTTCTGGTTCCGAAAATACTCCAGAACTGTTATTCAGGGCCGTATTAACCACGTGGCAGATGCGGCAGATGCCGCGGGCCTCGCGCTTATGGGGCCTCGCGCTTTACTGTGCCACGCCCATTTTTACGAGAACGCGCCTATTTTCTATTGGGATACGCCCATTTTAGGTGCCTCGCGAATTAGGGACATCGCGCATTAGGGCCCCTAGAATTGGCAGTTTACCCCAGGAAAATATACAATACTCGTATGCATGTAATCTCCAGTTGCGCTGATCTGTTATATATGATCCTGTTTATACTTGTTGACCCAACAACTGGGCCAGGCAGGCAATTGTTTATTATTGATGCCAATCAATTGAAATATTAAAAGCAATTATTTAACAATTTTGTGTGTCTTTGAATTGCAAAGGTTTTCATAACGGGGGTTGAGGGACCTCGCGCTAAAATCTGCCGCGGGCCTCGCGCAACGTTAATCCGGCCCTGCTGTTATTACGAGTTAAAACTATATATCATCCCAATTGAAGAGAATCAGGATAAGATAATTAGCGTGCAAGGAAATACTGGAAGATTCAAAGCGACCATCAAGTCCACTTTCCACAAATAGAAGTATTGCAGAATACCCTTCCACTAGTAATATCATATCATGTAGCCCGGCCACTATTTCACTGGATACATATATACCAGATCTTATTGCATCGTTCTAATATAAACAACTAACTAATTACTAAGACAATATTACGAATTGTGCTATAATTGTATAAAGGAAATATCATGCAAGACTTTTAATGTTTAATATTATGCTTAGTGTGCTTTATAATATAAAAATGTTTCTCCCAGCCACGCTAATTAATCATAATTTGTCAAACACCAATGTCCGGTTGTGAGGAACATATTTACATATTACACCACATTTAAGTTCTGTATAGCACGAGAATTTAATCTATTAATGCTAACTAACTGTCGCCTTAATCTCAAAATAACTACTTGACTGCGTATCCGCGTATCCACTAAAATATAGAGCTACCTGTAGCATGAAAATGTGATCTAATGCTAATCTAACTGCATGCCTCGTTCTCAAATTTGACTGCGTATCCGCGTATCCACTAGAATATAGAGTTACCTTTAAATTAACACTATCATGACAATTTAAGCTATTAATGCTAAGTCACTGTATGCCTCTTAGCTACTTTTACCACCATGGGATTTTAATCTATCAATCCAATTATTAATCTATTGAGAATATCAATAAATATAGATGTATTGATACATCGTATCCATGATGTTTGAAAGGCATGGCGATGCAACAACTTCGGCTGTCGCATCGTCGCCAAATTACGTTACATCGGAAGAGCGATAATTTTTACATAATATACTTTTCTTTAACAGAATTGAACAATATCTTCCTGCAGAAAATGCCGAATTGAAACTTACAAATGTCTAATCTTCCGAGGTTTGTGACCGGTATGAATTCATGGCCTTCAAATTCGAATTACACGCTGCATTGTCATTGGTCGGCTTTCAAAACAGCAACAGGACATTCGCAGAGGCCATTCGCTAACTCCACAAGGGGCCCCACTATGAGTTATGATTGAAATAATATTGTATTTATTTTTAAAAACCTACTTGAATCCCTTGATAATCGATTATTTCTTCTCTCGAAATTCTGTAAAAATTTTCAACTGCTGGGAATCATTATACTATCACTCTACATGACGTTTCACGAAGTATAGATGATCGCTGACAAGTAAGGACCGCGGGCACGAAAAGGCGAAGGCGGCGAAAGAAGGGAGAATTAAATTAAAGGGTTGAAACTTTGGCGGGTCATCGTTTGATGTGTTACATAAGTAGGAGTGTTCTCCGGCAATTTCGCACGGGGCCCCAATGTGAGTTAGGATTGAAATAATATTGTATTTATTTTTAAAAACGTACTTGAATCCCTTGATCATCCATTATTTCTTCTCTCGAAGTTCTGTAAACCTTTTAAACGGCTCGGACTCATTATACTTGACGGCACGAGAACAACCTACTTATGGAACACATTGTGCGAAAAAACCCTTCGAGTGTTTCATGTAAAAACATACGAAAAATCAATCGTTTATTGAATCTACTACATCAGTTGTGAAGATATATCCAAAAAGACATAGAATCTGCAAAAAAAATATTCGAAAACACATTGTGAATTTTAAGGCATTTAGAAATGTCATGTAATCGATGTTTCAACCCTTTAGTTTAATTCTCCCTTCTTTCGCCGCCTTCATCTTTTCGCGCTCGCGGTCCTTACTTGTCAGCGAAATAATCGATTATCAAGGGATTCAAGTAGGTTTTTAAAAATAAATACAATATTATTTCAATCATAACTCATAGTGGGGCTCCCTGTGCTAACTCCCCAAACGTTCGCTCTCTTACCGGAAATGTCCTGTTGTTGTTTTGAAAGCCGACCAATGACAATGCAGCGTGTAATTCGAATTTGAAGGCCATGAATTCATACCGGTCACAAACCTCGGAAGATTAGACATTTGTAAGTTTCAATTGGCATTTTCTGCAGGAAGATATTGTTCAATTCTTTAAAGAAAAGTATATTATGTAAAAATTATCGCTCTTCCGGTGTAACGTAATTTGGCGACGATGCGACAGCCGAAGTTCGCGTTATTCGATTGATTTCTGTCAGCGTTTGTCCCAATTAGTCCAATTAAACGGTCAAAGTGACCAGCCTTTTATTATTATTATTATTATTATTATTATTATTATTATTATTATTATTATTATTATTATTATTATTATTATTATTATTATTATGAACTATATTTCAACACGGTACAATTTCACCTATACTAACATTAATTATGTACAAGATATAAAAAGAAAAAAAGGTGATCTTCCAACCGGCCGTGCTCACACAAACAGAAATAAGAAATAATTACAAGAAAATTATTTTAGGTAGATGGAAACAATGGCAGGATCACTTGATGTTAATTTGCATGCTTCAACTTAGATTTAAAATTAGCAATAGTTGTTGATGCTTTTACCGATGCAGGAAGGCAGTTCCAGACTTCCGCACCTCGATCTGTAGGAGAATGCATTTTTCATACTATTTGTTTTTGGTTTAGGCAATGTCAAATCGGCTCCCGACTGTCTTGTGTTATGGTCGTGTACATCACCAACATTTGTGAACATATCACACAAGTAATCGGGGACCAATTTGTTTTTCACCTTGTACATGAGAATTGAAAGTTGTTGCATTCTTCTTTTTTCGAGGTTCGGAACTTTTAGCTTGTTTAATATATCAGCCGATCGTGTCGTATAATTCTCACGAGTGATTATTCGAAACGCTCTGTTTTGTAATTTTTGGACTTTAGCTGCTAATGTTTTCCCTAAGCAACCCCACACTTGAGCACAATAATCGAAATAAGGTTGAATTATGGATTGGTATATTGTTATTAAGGTATTGAATTCGACTGTATCCCGGAGTCGTCTGAGAATAGCAAGGCCTGAAGTGACCTTTTTTGAAATGTGTTCTATCATTAGGCCCAATGATTTTGTCATTTCAACTCTCTTAATTCCTAAGTTACCTACACTGATAGCAGGATCGGCAGTCACTTGACTAAGCCTTTTCTTGGAACCAATTATCATATATTCGGTTTTACTATTGTTCAGAGTTAATTTGTTTGCGGACAGCCAATTTGCAACATTGTTTAAATCTCTATTTAATGTTTCAGTGATAACTTTGATATCGTCACTTGATGTTGCATTTGGGTATCATCCGCAAACATATCTGGTTTTGTCCCGGCGTTTAAACATTTTGGTAAATCATTGATGTAAATTAGAAATAACAATGGGCCTAAACCAGAACCCTGAGGTATGCCTGTTTTCATAATTGATGGACTTGATAGTTTGCCATTCACACAACAGCACTGGGTCCTATTTGATAGATACGACTCCAGCCAGCGATGTGCCATTCCCTTTATTCCATAAGTTGCTATTTTGTCTAAGAGTATATTGTGGTCGACAGTATCGAATGCTTTTTTCAGATCCAGAAATACAATCCCATTTAGTTTCCCAATGTCAATATTTGTATACCATTCGTTGGTTTTGTCCAGTAATGCTGTAACAGTTGAGTGAAGTGGTCTAAATCCGTGTTGGGAGTTTGAAAGTAGATTATAGTTATGTAAATAATTATAGATTTGGTTATAAATCAGCTTTTCTGCAATTTTGGCAACTACTGATATAACGGATATTGGTCTGTAGCTTGTCATTTCATCTTTAGCTTCAGACTTAAAGATCGGAGTAATTCTAGCGATTTTCCAATCATTGGGAAATATGCCTGTTAAGATTGACTGGTTGAATATTGATGTTAGGGATGGTAAAATAACTGCTGCCGAAAATTTTGAGATACGAGAGGAGATACCATCGATTCCCGATGCTTTATTGGGCCCTAAACCATGAAGAAGAGTCAAAACATCATGCATTTTCTGAAATTTCTTGAAAGCTAGGGAGCCCATTAGCTGGATGGTGTACATCACTGAGAAAACTATCCGGTAAAATATTCGATTGAGGAATTTTATTCGCAAGTTTTCCCCTAGTTCAACAAAGTATTTATTAAAGGCATTAGGGATCAGCGTTTCGTCAATTACTTCACCATTCTCATCATTCATTCCTAGGATTTTATTATTAGTTGACTTTCTATTCATCAATTCGTTGAGTGTTTTCCATGTTTGTTTTAAATTTCCTGAATTGCTATGTAGTTTGCCTCGATAATAGGAGCACTTTGTATCTTTTATTTGCCTATTGTATTGGTTTTTTGCCTTTCTGTAGACAGACCAGGCATCAGTTGTGTTGGTTGTTCTAGCTTTCCTATGTAGGAAATTAATATGTTGTTTATTGTGAATTAGGTCTGTTGTTAGCCAAGGTAGCCGCTTAGTGCCGACTTTCCGTCTTTTTACTGGGGCATGGTTGTACCAGATTCTGAAGAATTTATTCTTCCAAATCTGCCAAGATATATTTGGATCGTGTTGGTCCAGGTCAAAATCGGATAAGTAATTTTGTAGGTCGCGCAAGAATATTTGTTCGTTGAAATGTTTGTAGTCGCGGTATTCGATTATTTTTGCATTTTCTTTGCAGACCTTAAATTTTCTGATGCCATAAATAAGATAGTGATCACTAATGGAAACAGTTGACACTCCCTTTGAAATAATATTATCAGGATTTGTTGTATAAAACTGATCAATTAATGTCCGAGTATCCGTTTAGTAACTCTTGTAGGTTCACTTATCAGTTGTTCATATTGATACAGTCCTGTAATAAATTTGAGTTCCGAAGCTTGGGGAGATAGACTTGTGGATAAGAAGTCATAATTTACATCTCCTAGGATAATACTTTCTTTATTGTCATTGTCTATTAGTTGTAAACAGTTCTGAAATCTATAAAGGGTGTCAATTGGATCGTTTGGTGGTCGATACCACGTTGTAATTAAGAACGGTTTAACGTTATGTTTACTAATTTGTATTGTAAGAATTTCAATATCATGATTATTCAGGTCAGTTCGAGGTCGAAAATTTATTGAATCTCTAATGAAAAAACCGATACCACCCCCAGATCTATTTCTGTTTTTGGAAATCCAATTGTAACCTTGAATGCAGTGGCGCCGTGGCCGGGGGGGGGCAGGGGGGCCCGTCGGAAAATTGTGAATGTTGTCGGAAATTTTTGGAAAATTGACAACGTCGGGAGGTTTGCGGTACCCCTGTCGGAAATTATTTTCAGGTTTGTCGGAAAAGTACAGCCCTTGCCCCCCCCAAAAAAAAACAAGGGTCCCACGGCGCCACTGCTTGAATGGCTATTGACTCGATTGGCACACTATCGTCCATTCGTGTTTCATTAATTGCAAGAACATCTATTTCTTTATCATTCATTTAGATCCGAAGTTCGTCAATGTGTTTTGGTAGACTTGTTATGTTCAAAGAAGCTATTTTGAAGCCTCGGATAGCCGGAACTAACCGGTCTTGTTGATTGTCAATATAATTTAAATTTTGTTCTCATAGCGTAGGGTTGTGCTCATAGCGTAGGGTTGACTTTCTAGTTTCGCACATTGTGCTTAATTCAATATTGTTAGTGTTACCACCTATGTTAATTGATTTTATAATTTTGTAAAAATAGTCAATATCGCTAGGTTTGAGTTCATTTAGTCAATTCTTGAGGGATTCGATCAAGTTCTTTGCTAACATTGCCGTTCCTTGGCTATTCAAATGTAATCCAGATGCATTTAATTTAGAAGCATCTACGTTAGTATGCCGAATAAACTGCCACTTGAATTTACCACAGAGCTTAGCTAGTAACGAATTAGTTTTATCTATCTTAATGTTGATAACCGGGTCCTGTCTCTTAATTATTTCGGAAATAGCTATTTTTGACAAACTTTGGGACACGATACCTTGACATATATATAAGAATTTCATTTCGGCTACAATTTCGTCGGGTTCTTTACGTAACGTTGAATGTCATTAGTCCCTACATGTAGAATCACCAGTTTGGGTTGTTTCTTCATTGTGGGTTGTATGTAGTGGTTCATGTCGTTAATTGTTGCTCCAGGAAATGTTTTGATGTTGCCTTTTTCGCCTATTAATCGACTCAGTTGTCTCAGTTTAGGTGGTTTAATCATCTTTATCATGGAATCCCCTAAGATTGTTATGGGACCTTCGGATGTCTTGGACTTGGAATAGCTATTCTGGGGTGG